TTCCAGGCCAATAAAATCTCTCCCGAAGCTTTCTAAGAGTTTTGTTTCTGCCTAAATGGCCACCTCCTGCCGTCAGTGAATGTATGTCATGTAATGCAGATAGACGTAGCTGACTATAGACTACCTTATCACGTTTTGGAATCTGCCACTGGTAACAAAGTGTTTCATTAACAATGGATAAATTTTCAAAATGTCTCCAGAAGGTTCTTAACACGCGCCCCTGGTTCTTAATTTGGTGCCAATCTGGTCTATTTCCAGATCTGACCCAACTCTTCACCAGTGAAATATCAGGGTCTAGGTCCTGTTCTGATCCTATGGAGTCAGCGATGGATGGGTCTGCTGTGGCTTCTGGTGACACTGTGGTTACTCGAACCCTTTTTGTTGAGTCTCTCCCATTTCTCCTTTTTCCTTCCTTCTCCACACCTTTCTCCATCACATAATCTCCACAGTTAAGCTTACTGTTTGCCTGAGTGGTGGAATAAGTGCTTGTCCTTTGTTTGCATTTTCTTGGTTCCAATGCAGGACAGGATGTCTTTCCTTGAGCAGCCGGTGGATCCCTGTGTCTGGCATCCTGCTCAGAGCATCAGCTGCCCCATTTTGTTTTCCAGGGCGGTATCTTATCCTCAGGTATCCAAACGAGGATAATTCAATAGCCCATCTACTTCTCCTTCCTGATACCTCTGCTTCTAAATTCAAGCTCTTGTGGTGAGTGAGTTTTCTGCCTTTTCGTGCTCACCGTCAGACTCTAACAGCTCATACATTCCTCTTACTTTTGAACATTCGCGCTCACTAAGACAATGAAATTCACCAACAAACTGCCCTTGTTTAACGAACAAAGGTTGATCTGAAACATTGATAACACGGAGGGGTATAAGTGCTTGTTAAGCATTGGCCAAAACTCGTGCTAGTCCAATTCCACTTTCTTAGGTGGTTCAAAAACTCCGTCATCACTCAACATAGGCCTACCTCTTTGGTGTACCAGATGTCCATGGCAAATAACCTCTGAACAAGTTGGCACCCAGCAGTCTTCAGCCATATTGACCCTGCACACACCAGGGGGTCGCGAGGGACTCAGTTCTTATGGATGTGAGACTCCACCAATTACTAGCTCGCGTTTACCTGGATTTATAGCTATACCATGGCCCGTATTCCAAGATGTTCCTTAAAATAGGGCTAAGGTCAACTTTTATAAAGGCTTCCTTTGATGAGGTGTTCCTTGGTAAAGGAAGGCCTAACGAAATGGTATTCTAAGACCATACTTTAGCCTCTCCTTTGATAAGGAATTACTTTGACAAGAGTCAGCCTTTAGGTATTAAAGGACACTGACATAAAGGAGCTCCTCATTGGTTAGAGTAGGCCTTTGTGACACCGTCCTCGTTAAAAATGCCTCAGTAATGTGGTATAATTGGGGTCAACTGATCAACATCAGTCATGCAACAGCGCATATGGACATTATCACTGCATGTGGGTGTTTTGATCTAAGCCAAATTTAGTGAATAAAGCAAGTTTGGCAAGAAGAGAAAAGAATGGTTTGGTGGATGAGAAAACCAAAGTCGTAGACCCTTTTCTGATATTGAAAAAGCAGCTACTGATGCAACTAGTCAACAGAGAAATAAAGCCTATCCGATCAAATGTATTACTTCCGCCAAGGAGGTTATGTTTTCATCCCTGTCTGTCTGTCTGTCTGTCTGTCTGTCTGTTTGTTTGTCATCAATATAACTCAAAAAGTTACGGGCCGATTTTGATGAAATTTTCAGGGCTAGGTCAGAAATGGGTTATATTAGAAGTGATTAGTTTTTGGTGGTGATCAAGATCAATATTCAATCAATTATCATTAATAAAAAAAACTCAAAAAGTTATGGACCGATTTTAATGAAATTGACAGGGTAGGTCAGAAATGGGTTAACTTAGAAGTGGTTAGTTTTTGGTGATCAAGATCAATAATCAATCAATAATCAATAATCACAAATAACTCAAAACGTTTTGCGCCGATTATGATGAAAGTTTCAGAAACTGTCACAAGTGGGCCAGGGAACAGATGATTTGTTTTTGGTGGTGATCAATAATCAATCAATTATCAAATATCAAAAAACTATATCATTATAGAATGAAAATTGGGTGGAGACTTTGCTCTCGGAGTGCTTTTCTAGTTGAATTTAATGATTTTGAATTTAGGTAGGCATGTTGGTTTATATAGTCCTCCATGGAGCTGATTTTCACAAAAGAAATGTACACGATGGCTGCTTAAGGAAGACTTAAAGTTAGTCCAGACCAACCTTACATTTTAAGGAATCCTCAGCCGAAAATAAAGGAAATCTTTAGGCAAAGGCAGATTCTAGAAATGACCGATTCCTTTGCTAAGGATGATTGTTAAGTGATTCCTTTCAAGCGAGATAAAGAAAGGTCTTGGAATACAAATGTTGTAGAAGGTCGACTTTAAGTCTCCCTTTAACGCTAAAGGGAGATTCTGGAATACGGGCCCGTGTGCCAATATAAAATCCCACCCAATGATCAGTGAATTGTCTACATTACTTCCGACACGGAAGCGATGATTGAAAGACTGGTCCCCGATTGACACTGTTATATCTGAGCAGCCCTCTGTGGTTAGAATGTCTCCAGTTACTGAGGATGGTCTCTCCTTGGACTCCTCTAGTATCATCTCTGGCGGCTGACATTCTTTCCAACAATTTTCACGAATAACAGATATATCAGCTCCTGTATCTAGAAGCGCAAGAACCTCTTTACTTCCAACTTTTACTTTCACAAGTGGTGTGGGTTTTTCTGGGTCTTTGAAAAATTGTGTGGCTGACGACTGACCCATGTCGACAGCCCTTAGTGTTCCCCCTCCCCTTGCTGCAAAGACGGACAGTTACGCCATTTGTGCCCTCGCTCCTTGCAATAATCACATAAACCTTGGAATGTATTATCAGTTTTCCTGGGTTCAAATTCCGTTGCATTCCGTGCATTGTTTGGCCAGCGACCCTTTCTCTCACATGCCATTTGACAACCCTGACTCTTGCCACTTACAGGAGCTATGGTATTTCTACCTCGTGGAAAATTGGGTTTTGTGTGGTAACGGTCCTTGCTCCGTCCATTAAAAGCTTCAGGTGATCTCATGGCACCTGTGTTGGCACCAGAACCAAACACAGGATTATGTTCCTGTTGCCTCCATTTCTTCTGTTCCACAGTGAGCTCAGCCATGCACTCCGATAATTTCTGTACTTGAACCACCAGTTGCGGCAGCATGGGATCTCGGTCTCCCTTACTCTCAGCCGGGCCTTTTCCATTGAGCGGACAGCATTTTTACCATGGGCAATACGCTGAACTTGTTCAAATTGCTCTGCCTGCTGCACAGCAACTCGTAGACTTTCTAGATTTTGAGTGAGGAGATGAAGTTGCAGATTACCATCCCCCACCCCTCTAATAAATTGTTCTTTGGCGAGGGCATTTCGAGCTGCTTCTGGAAAATCGTTGTATGCCAAACGAACAGCCTCCATGATTCGCAGTTCAAATGCGACCAGCTTTTCTCCTGGACCCCGAACCAGCGCCATAAAATTTTGTCGTCTCATCAAATTATGTTCTCCTGGCACCAACCTGTGTCGCAAGGCCTGTTTGAGTGCAGGATAATCCCGTTTTTCTGCCTCTGTCAGGGAATCATAGGTCATAAATGCCCGCCTTGATAGATATAGAGGTAAAACAACGTGTCTGGGCTGTACATTTTACGCTGGGGGCTCTGAGAAACACAGCTCAAATTTCTTGAACCAGAGTTCAAAATTTTCCATGTTTTCCTCTTAGAACTCCGGTCTCCGGTAACTTTGGTCTGGCGACTCCACCAGATGCCATCATTAATTTAAAATGTGTGACAAATAATCAACACGTATTATATAACATTCGCTAGAACTGTTTAACTACTTCACGAATTCTCCGCAAAATTTCAGCTGTAAAACTGTAAAAAGGCCCCGAACTCTTCTCTGTGGCATGCACACCGTCCCACTTGACCAATCTGCCTTGCCTCGCACGTACCCGTTTTCCGTGCCTCCTCCTGGCCACGAACCTATCCAGACAGGCCGGTCTGTATCCAAAGCGGACGTGATGTCTAAATACAACCCTGTTCACTTGAATGAATGCCTCTTCCTCTGTCAGAGTTAGATTAAATCTGGGAGGAACAGTGCCCAAGATTAATCTAGTGTCTGGATGATGTGCTTTTACCAGAGTCACAGTTGCATTTATGTGTGTGTTAATTAATTAACGCGCGGCGCTTTTCAAATTGTACAGATTCAGTGTCGTTTACAACTTGCCAGGCAATGGGTTCGTGAATTCTCCAGTCTTCGAGCCCCGCTTTTGGGCCCCAGTTTTGTAGCGGTGCAATTTCTCCGCAATCCAGAATAACAACGCTGTGACTTCTTTTTCATAAATTTAATAAGATAATAAATATTTACGCTACTAAGTGCGCAAGCTGCTAATCGTCTGCTGCGCCACCAATGTTCCCTTTTCCGCCCACGCTACCCCGGTTTATGCACACCGGCACTATATTTACCCAGTTACACAGGGCACTGATCCCATGTCAAAGAAATGCATTAAACCATAAACTCTCATGCAATACTTTGCTATTTTGCTAATTGCCGTTTGCACTCTCTCTGTGCCTTCAAAAAATAAGTGACCTTCAAAGAAGCAGACCATCAGAATAGCATACCCTCAAAATATAGCAGCACATCCCCTTTTCAGGCCTACCCAACTACCAGACTCGGCACCTAAGGATCCTGAATTAACCGGTATATCGGACCACACTACCCGTTTTCAAGGTGTGTGTCTNAGGAGATCTGGAAAGAGAAGAGAAAGTTTATCGAATGACAGTACATTTGTTCGGTGGCAAATGGAGTCCCAGTTGCTGTAATTTTGCATTGCAACGCACAGCAGAAGACAACAAAGGTCATTATGACACAGAAGTAGTCAATACTGTTTTACAGAATTTTTATGTAGATGACTGTTTAAAGTCAGTAATGGGTGAAACAGAGGCAATTACCATGGTCAGTCAATTACAGAGTCTGCTGCAAACAGGAGGTTTCCACCTGACGAAGTGGATTAGCAACAGCAGAGAAGTGTTATCCAAGATACCAGACAAAGACAAAGCCAAGCCTATAAAGAATCTTGATTTGAATTTACAGGCCTTGCCGACAGAACGTGCTCTTGGTGTTTGCTGGGACATAGAAGTGGACAGCTTCACCTATAAAATGGATCTTGAGAAGAAACCATTGACCAAGAGAGGCCTTTTAAGTGTCATCAGTTCTATTTATGATCCCCTGGGCTTTATTTCTCCCTTCACTATCAGTTCGAAGAAGATGTTACAAGATTTAACACGTGATAAGATAGGTTGGGATGAAACTGTGCCTTATAAAACCCAGGTAGAGTGGTCAGGTTGGAAGAACAGCTTGCCCAAGATGAAAGAAATGAAAGTACCAAGATGTGTACAGCCAGTACAGCCTGAGAAGATTGCCAGCATTCAGTTACACCATTTTTCTGATGCGTCTACCATGGCATATGGTGTTGTAAGTTACCTCCGTGTACAGGACATCTCAGGTCAGATACATACTTCATTGTTGATGTCAAAGGCTCGGTTGGCACCGATCAAGCAGCTTACAATTCCGCGTCTCGAGCTTACAGCAGCTACTATGGCAGTCAGATTAGATTACATGATACGACAGGAACTCACTTTTCCTGTGGACAGTTCAATATTTTGGACAGACAGCACGTGTACTTTGAGTTACATTCAAAGTGAAGATAAACGATTTCAAACATACGTTGAAAACAGAGTCTCTGTCATCAGAGAAGGTTCAATTCCGTCACAGTGGCACTACATCGATTCAAAGAGGAACCCAGCTGACGATTGCACAAGGGGACTCACTGCCCATGAAATGATTAACAGTATCAGATGGATTGAAGGACCAGAATTTCTTAAGCAGAGTGAGTGCCACTGGCCAGAAACTCCAGAGGTTAAGGGAGTGTCAGATGAAGATAAAGAGTTAAAGAGACCAAAGACATGTCTAGCACAAAGAAGTGAGTCAGTACAAGAATCAGTGATAGATAAGATTCTAAAACGTCGATCTTCGTGGAAAAAGCTTAAGAAAGATGTTGCTGTGATACTACGCTTCAAACAGTGGTTAATAGCAAGACATAGAAGAGAAAAGGTGAATGTACCCACAGGTCTACTTTCAGTGGAAGAAACAGAAAAGGCAGAGTTAGAAATCTTGAAGTATATCCAAGGGCAACACTTTGGGAAAGAGCTCTCAGAAATTAATCGAGCTGTAAACAGTCAGAGTGGTGTTAAACGTGCAAGTAAGCTGTTTAAGCTTGCACCAGTGATGCATTCTTCAGGTGTGTTAGTAGTTGGTGGTAGATTGAACAATTCAGCTATTTCAGAAGGGATAAAAAATCCAGTGATTTTACCACA